AACATGCTTCTAAACCCAGAGAAGGGACCACGCCCAAGCCGTGCTCATCCACTCCTGTCTGGCCCCGGACTAGGCTCTGTGACATGAAGGTAACAACATCCTGGTGTTGTTGGATGGACTTTGCAGTTAAATGGAGGAAAAATTAGTGCCTTGTGTTTCACTGTGGCTGCTGTGGGGAGCTAGCAAATCCTTTGCATACAGGAATTTTGCCAAAGTCATGGAAGCAAAGTGGTTTGTTACTTGCCTTTGAGGGCTTGGGAGAGATCTGTCTTGGATATCCTCTTGTTGACCTTATTGAGTTAACTTTCATGTGTTTAGAAGGTCACGGAGAAAATCATTAATATTAGGTTGATTTGATGGCTGAAAGGTAATAAGTATTTCCTGCTTATCAGATGGGGTTTGAGAGGACTTTGAATAGCTTGATTTGTTTATCTTTTGCAATCGGTACAGCCCTTAGCGAGAGGGATTTTGTATTCCTGCTTCAGCTGGTGGAATGACACAGGGCTTGTTTTCCACCGAGTGCTCCACAGCACAAATAGCCAAACACCAGGAAACTGTGAAGTCCAGCTCCCAGCTAACTTGGCCATGCTGTGAGCCTTGGACATCTCATGCTGTAACGCTTTATGACATGAACAATAACAGATTAACATCCCCTGTTACTGGAAAGCTCGAAATAGAAAATGCGGAGTGCGTGGAGGTTGGTTGGGTAGAAAGCCAAATCCTGTAAACGTGGCTTGGCACGGCCAGGGTTTCATTGACCTTGGCGGGGCTGGGAGTGCTCCATTCACAGGAGGCATCTGTGAGTGCAGAGATGGGGCACGAGCCTGTGCAGGGCTGACATCACAGTGCTGCTCTTGGAGGCTTTTGCCGTTCCTGAGCTTTTCTTGGATTAATGCGCAGTGAAACCTTAGGCTGCATCAGCAAAATGGTCTTTCCCTCACCCTCCATCTGGGATTTAACAAAGAGGGGAGTCATTCTTTAAGCTGAAGGATCATTGTAAAGCCATTTAAAATGAAATCCAGTCTTATTTGAGAATCATTTGGCAAAAAAGCACATGAAAATCTCCCGTTGTGGACTCGCTAGAAGACAGACGTCGTTTCTGGTTCCTTTGGCTGTTGGGAAAGGAGGTAGGACTGAATGTTCCACCTTGAATGGTTGGGCAAGGACTACAGATGAGGGATAGCAGCTTCTTTTCAGGAGAGAGACATTTCTGTTGCTTCTAAGGCTTGAGGTGATGGTTGTTTTTAAAATAAATGCTGTTTATTCCCTTGCTTAAACTCTGGATAGCCAACTGTATTTGTAGCCATATATTATCATCAAAAGGTGTGGTGACAAATAAATAATGAATGGATAAAGAGCTGATGGAAAAGAAAAAGAGAGGAAGTGTGAAAATGAAACCAAATTCAGTGCTCTGATTTAACAACTGGGCTTTTGCAGGTTATAAATTATTGCCAAAGAATGAGATGGAGTTACACTAAACCACGCTCCTGAGATGCTGAAACCAGCATGCACAGACAGCAGACAGATGCCCAAACCAGCTGGACAGATGCCAAACAGACCAGAACCCATCCCCAAGCCCCTGGAGCCCTGTGTCCCACAGTGCTGCTCAGGAGCTGGAAGGTGCAAGCAGCCCTTCCCTTCAGGGACCTGTTGTGTGCAGCTCTGGACCCAGGGTCTGTTTGCTGCCTACACAGAGGTGTGGATGGTCAGGCTGAAAGGCAAAGAAGGGCTCTCACACTGTGTGAGATATGTTTGTGTGCAGTGACAGCATTTCTACAGTGAAAACAAAAAAGGAAAACTTGCTTTGGTGAACAGGAATGAAAACCCTTTGGTTTAAGGGACTTAGAGACATTTCTGCATTGAAGTGTGTTTGGGGGTGGATATACTTGGTTTCAGGTGACCTCCCTAACTGAGTGTTGGCAATCAGTTGCCAAAGGAGGCATATGTTATTAATTTTTATGAGATTTATAGAAGAGTCTCTCTTATGGTATATATACATGGACTTCCTTATCTCAGAGGGGCTTGCTGCTTGAGGGAGTGTACCTTGTAGGGGAGGGGTCCTGTGAGAGTGGATTTTAGCAATGATCAAACAGGTTTTATCTCATGAAACGATCACTGCATGAAATTTTATTTTGGTGTATTGATATTCTCTGCTGCAGGCCAGATGCAGCCCAGGCTGGCATGCTTAATTCCCTTTGGCCACCCTCCAGCAGAGCATCCTGTTTTCACAGGGTGGTTAAGTGTGAGCTTATCTTTAAGCAGGCGGCGAAATCCAGGTGGTTTCACTGCTGCTCTGACCACGGCTTCTGGCCAGGGGACAGCTCAGCTTCCAGGGGAACCTGGAGCTCCTCCAGGATCCCTGCCCTGGGACAGAACCGGGCCCTTCCTGGGGAAGAGGTGGAGTGATGCACACTGGGCTGGGTGCATTTGGGGTCAGCATCACCTGCTGATTCTGCATCAGCTACTTCAGGCCTTGGCTGAGGGTGATGCCAGCCAGCTCCTTGGACAGGGCAGGAGGAGATGTCACCCCCTGTGCTGCTGGTGCCCTTCTTAAAAAGTCAAGGGGCTCTCAATTAGCTGATCTTAGGCAGGACAGTGGTGACAAAGGTGCACAGGTGTGTCAGTGACAAGTTGGAGCTGAGCACTGTGCAGGGTGCTCCGTGGGTGCTCCTGAGGCACTCCAGCCACAGGCTGGGGCCTCTGCTGTGCAAGTCCTCCAGAGACAATTAGAAGAGAATTAGAACATGTTTTGGGAAACAGATTGCATTTTCTGATGGGAGTTTCCAAAAAAGCAAAGCAACCTGCCCTTCCCCCCACTTCAAATCCCACCTGTTTTGGTTTTTTTCCTAGAAAAATGTGAAATTCATTAATGTGTGGTGAAAGCAATGTAACGACGTCATCTTGACTTAAAATCTGTTTTAAATCTTAAAATGATGGAGCCAGAATTTTAGCTGCAAATAGCCTTGCCTTGTGGGCACAAGGCAGACTGTCAGCGTGACTGGAACAGCTCTGGGTTTGGTAGTTTAGCATCCTTTGCAACTATGACATTTGAAAAGAAAGCAAGAAAAGACACAGCAAGGAGAAAAAGAAATGAATATGATTTCTGTCAAAAGCCAAGCCCTGTGTTCTGTGCTCAGGTGTAGCTGTGGTGCCACGGGAGTGCAGGGCAAGCAGAGCCCAGCTCTGTGCTGGGCAGAGCTCTGCTAGCATCCTGCTGAGGCCACCCTGCCATGCCCTGTGCCCAGGGTGCTCCTCCTGCCACATCCCCAGTGCTGAGTCACAGCTCCTGGCTGTTTTCTGACAGTGGGAAATGCTGTGACCCCTGTCCCTGTCCTCTGACACTGCTGTGAATGTCCCAGCACTGCCCTGAGCCTCCCTTGCCCAGCCTGTGCCTTCAGCTCCCTATGGACTTCTGACAGCAAAATCAGAGTTAAATCACCCTCTTCTCAAAATGTCAAATACCAAAATCCAGATTTTGGGAACAGCACCGAAGGCAATCCCGCAGCATCACTGGGAACCTCATGGCTGTTGAGCCTGGGCTTTGGCTCAGGGTACTTTCTGGAGGTCTGGTGCTCAGCAGCACTGCCTGCCTGAGGTTTTCTTCCTGCTGCAGGCCTGGGTGTCCCCTAGATAATATAACCTGGATATCTAGGTTATCCCTAGATAATTGGGAATGCTGCAGAGTTCTGTTGAGATTTGGACTTTCAGGCTTCACAGTATTTGCTGGTATGAGATGGTGTGCAGGAGGCTGAAGTGGGGCTCTTTGGTGTGTTGTGGCCACTTTCTGTATATGTTTCAGTCTGGGGTGGATCTGAACAAGGATTTATTGACTTTTTCTCATTTTCATTGCCAGTTCCCTCCCCACTCTGCTACATCAGAACACTTTTTCTTCAGGCCATGTTTCTAAGTCCTCTATTGTCCTGTAAAGGGAGTCTGCCACCAAAATGTTGCCCATCTGTGAGTTTGGAGTGGACAGTGTGGATGCTGTGGTGCAAATGCTCCACAGGTCACAGATGGACAGATTGTGGAGAAATTTTTGGGCTTTGCTGTTTGGGTGTGAAGAGCTTTTTGGGTGCATGCTGCCCAGTGTCCCCCTTGGGAGGGCACCTTGAGAGCATTGGTGTTACCAGGTCCTCTGACCTTGTGCAAGCCAAGTCAACTCTTTGGAAGGAAAAGTGGGACTCCTGTTTGATATTTCTTGGGAATACTTAAAACAGGAAATGAAACAAAAAGTTTATGGTAATGTTTGAAGCTGTGGTGAACTCTGGTTAATTTAGTCCCTTGGCCAGAACAAACAGATGGCTGAGGCTGTCAGACCCCTGCTGACCACAGCCACTGGTGGAAAAGCTGGTTTGACTCTCACCACTCCTCGTGATCTCTCCCCAAGGGAGCTGTCCCATGGCCCTGTCAAGGTGGACAGAAGCACATCCACGGATGGTGACCACATCATGGCTTCACTGCAGAGCAGAGCTGTAGAATGGACAAGTGACACTTCTGTTGTAGTGGGTTTTATGTGAAGTTCAAGTCCAGCCTGCTAAGGGCAGCACAAAGAGTTTTTTCCCTTGACTTCTCCCTGCAGTTAACCCAGAGAATCAGTGCCGTGCTGCTGCACCAAATCTCTGAGAAGGGGCTGGCTGTCCCTGCTCTCCAGTCTGTGCCTGTGTAACCTGGTAGAGGCTGTGCATATGCAGTGGAGAGCCTGATTTATGGTCAGTGGGGCTGACCAGGAGGATTAAATCAAAGCAAGGATGAGCAGAAGTTTTTCAAAAACGCCCAGTTTGATTGTAACTCCCCAGGTTTGGCTGACTGAGGAGAGTCAGCTCTGGGTGGCATTACAGAGTGCCTGACACCGCTGCCTGGTTCTGGTGAAGGGCAGCCCAACCTGAGCCCCCAGTGCCAGTGCCCTTGGCAGGCTGATGTGCAGCCCCTCTGCCCCCAAGCCTTGCTGTGCTCACAGTCTGTTCTGTTCTGTTCTCTCCCCACCTGTCCAAATGTCCCAGATGTTTGCTGCTGAAGAGAATGTGGATTTTCGGATACACGTGGAGAACCAGACGCGGGCGAGGGACGACGTGAGCAGGAAGCAGCTTCGGCTCTACCAGCTCTACAGCAGGACAAGCGGGAAACACATCCAAGTGCTCGGCAGGAGGATCAGTGCCAAAGGAGAAGACGGAGATAAATATGGTAAGAATATTTACTGGGATCCCCCAGACTTCAGGTCAAAGGCTTTAATCCAGGGTGTTGTGCTAAGAATATCTTGGGAGAAAAATAATAAGAGCAATAAAGAGGAAAAAAACTCTTTCCAGGTAAAGAACATGAGATTTGGTTTGCTGGCACTGCCTCCGAGCTGCAGGCAGTTCCCACGGTACTGCCATGCCCCTATTTATTAGTGTATGGTTGGAGAGAAGAATGTCTTTCTGCCCAAGCCATGAGCTCACTGTGTGTTTACTGCAATTCATAAATGACACCTAAATTGGTGGTTGGGGAAGCCCCTTCCCCATGAACTCTTGGGCCTGTGGTTGAGTGAATCCAGTGTTTGAATGAAGCACTCCCATCTTCTCAGGTAGTGGGATGTTTGGTTTGAACTGAAAGTAGACTTGGAGAGCTTTGAGAGTACCTTGGGGCTCAAGCTGAGTCTCTAAGTGTGTGGATCTTGCAGGAAAAACAATGCTTACCCTATGCTAGCAGTGCATCCAACGATTCTTCTTGAGATTTTCACACAAGCAACATGCTGGAAATGCTGCTGGAGGCTGGGCTATGCAAAATACTGTAATTCTGATTCATTTGGAGATGGTTTCTGCTGAGATGCTTTTTCTCTCGTTGGCTGTCGGGAGGGTTTTAGGGCTGTTGAGAGCACTGGTCCTGTTGGTGTTTGGGATGCACATTCCCGTGCTGCTGCAGAGGTGTGTGAGAGTTTGCTGGCTCAGCCAGCACGTGGGATTGTCTGGTGCAGCACTGCTGAGGTGGAGCTGAGCTCCGAGGAGGGCAGCTCAGCGTCTGGGAGCGGTTGTTCCCTCAGGAAGCTCCAGGACAGATGAGGCACATGCTGAGGGCAGCTGCTGCCACTGCCGGTGCGGGTGCAGGAGCAGCATGAGCTGTGCCAAGGGAAGCGACAGCCAGCGAGCACCTGGCAGGTAGGAAGTGACCCCAAGGCATTGTGTGGGGTCAGCCGTTCTCTCAGAAAGAGCCCTGCCCTGAGGTCTCATCAGCCTTGTCCTTTGTCATTCCCAAATTTCCAGATATTACAGAAGTGAAAAGTGCCGCTTGGCTGCTAATTATTGTGTCATTTTATGGCATTCGTGCTCCTGAGCTCTGATATGGAGAAGAGTCTCTGGGCGCTGCCGCCGCCCGGGGACGGCTCCTGCCCGCGGAGTCTGTCAGGTGCCGTGATGGAGTTTTCCTCCCGGTGAAAGAAGGCGGCATTTACAGTGGGTGCAGCAGGGAAACGTTCCCGGGAGCAGCTGACAAGTGCTAATTTATGTGTCAAAGCCCATCTTGTCCCCTTCATACATATGCAATCGTGTCTGAACAACAAACCCGCGTGCGGGAGCGAGCCCGTGGCCGAGAGCGGTGCTGCCATGGCAGAGCCCGAGATTCCTGGACCAGAGCTCCTGCATCCCTGCCTGCCTCCAAATCCTGCCCCTCCATCCCTGCCTGTCTCCAAATCCTGCCCCTCCATCCCTGCCTGTCTCCAAACCCTGCCCCTCCATCCCTGCCTGTCTCCAAACCCTGCTCCTCCATCCCTGCCTGTCTCCAAACCCTGCTCCTGCATCCCTGCCTGTCTCCAAACCCTGCCCCTCCATCCCTGCCTGTCTCCAAATTCCTCTCCCGGCTGCCGGGGTGCTCGGTTTTTCTGCCTGCACCCCCAGACCAGCCCGGCCCCGGCCCCGGAGCCTCCTCAGCAAACGCGCCGAGGCTGCGGAGCCTTCTGGCCCCCAGCGCAGTGAAAGGTTATGGAAATCGGCTCCGGTCCTGCTTGGCACGGAGCACTGGGAGCATGATAATCGGGGAGACAGTGAGGTGGGACTCGGCGGGCCGGGATGGGACCACGCAAAGCTCCTGTCTGGGATAACGGAGGGGGGAGAGACGTCGGAGTTACTGGAGTGAGAACCATCTGTGTTACAGCCCAACCTGGACACAAAGGCAATGACACAAGGCTCATTATGTGCCGGGAACCCCTCCCCCTGAGGTATTATTATGGAGTAACCTTTGATCAAGACCAGAGAGAGGCTTAAACCGGGTCTGGGGATCTCAACAGTTGCGAACTTTTGATCCACATCTCCGTCTTGCCGGTCGGGTGTGCGTCTGGAGGAGCACACCTCTCCTCCCGGGCAGCAGATGGCCGAGTGTCCCCTGCCCTTCCCGTGCCGTGTCCTGCCTGCCCCGGGCCGGCCGTGCGGCTCGCTGCCTAAAGGCTGCGCCTTGGGGAAGGCTGCGGGAGGACAAGCACGTCTGAGAAATGCCTGAGCAAAGGCAAGAGACGTGGGGAAAGGTGCCCGTGAGATGGCTCCAGCCGTGAATTCTCTCAACAGCCCGGTGCAGAAGGTGACATCAGGCAAGGGCCACGCCGGTCGGGGTTCGGGTGGGAAGCTCTGTCGGGACGAAGGTCCCTGGTGCTCATCACCACCCCATTAGCACCAGCTCGTTGCAAGGATAGCAGAGCAAATAACGTTTTAGCGCCTCTTTTCCGTCTTCCCTTACACCCACAACAGTGTCCAGATTTTTTATTTTTTTTTTTTCCACATATCCAACTTCCAAATGGGAGGGTTGTCCTGCCTTTGAAGGGAAGTTACGTTTATTGCAAGGTTTATTGACTTCTGTAAAACTTCTCACCTCTTGGCACAGAGAAAACCCAGAAGAGAGGGGAGGTGGCAGATCTCGGGCAGGGAACGGCCGCTTTCCAAGCAGCCACCGCAGGTACAGCAGAATGAGCAGCCAGCCCTGGCTAGGGGAGGGATGCTGCAGCAGGGCTGGGGATCCGGCCAGAGAAATCCCCCTGGACTCTTTTATTCAGGTGTGCAAATACCACGCTCTGCAATGCAGAATTCTGCTGCCGTCATCATTCCGGTGTGTAATTTTTGGTTTATGCATTTTTCGGGGCCAAGACCTGGCCCCGTGTGTCAGATTATTAAATGGCAAATTAAAGCAGTTAATAGAATTAATTGAGTCGATGTAATCCTTCTAATCAGATGGATTTGATCCCTTCTCAGATGAATTAGAATCCATTAACAGATAAGTCAATTATTGGACTAAATTAAATCTAATAATAATGCCTGCTGCTTACAGCAATACTAATTAATCTAAATACACTTACCTATCTCCCAAGGTTTTTTTTTTTTTAAAAGGCTTAATTGATGTTCCTAAAGTGCTCTGAGATCTTTAGATAACAGATGATCTATGTGAGCAAAATATTATCTCTTAACAGACTATAAACTAATTAAAAGACTGATCTATTTGCAAATTGCATTTTTACTTTAATCTCTTCAACCTATTCAGAAGGAATTTGCACTGGCCCAGAAAAACAATATTCCTATTATAATCTTATTATTACTTTACGGGTTCCTAAGTGGTCCTTTCATTCAGAAAATGAAAGGGTGAAGGAGAAAAAACAACCATTAAAGTGCTGACAAAAAAAAAAAAGAAAGAAAAAAAAAAAAAAGAAGAAAAGAAAAGGACCTGGAACCTTTATTTTCTACCTCCGATAAATGGTACAGATAGGGAAGAGAGGGATCAGTGACCTGAAACCTTAGATCCTTTCATTTATTTTCATTTCACAAAAGGCAGAAGACATTCTATCCTGTTTGCTCACGATCTGTGTATCCGGCGCAGTTGGGCAGACAGAGCTCTCTTGGTTGGGTGAAGGCATTTTTGCCTCATTTGTATTTCACAGCCGTGGGGGTTTTGGTTTAATTTGTCCCCAGCTCGTGCTGTCCTGCGGGGCACGGAGCAGTGATAGGCACGAGTGCCGAGCTGGGAGAGCGCTCTGCGGAGCCGGGCTGGGCAGCGGAGGGGCCGCAGCACCCGGCGCGTTCCGGGCTCTGTTCTGTCCACGGGCCCGCTCCAGAGAGCTTCCACAGCCCCTCGGGAGCTCAGAAACCTGGGGATGATAAACCTGCCACTGCTCAGAAACCTGGGGATGATAAACCTGCCACTGCTCAGCCCTCTGGTCCGCAGCGCGGAGCCTTTGGCCGGGGAGGGCACAGGGGGGACAGCAGCACCCCGGTACCGGGCAGGAGCAGCCCCGAGAGGCTCCCCCGGGTCCAGAACCCCGGCGGGAGGGGAGGGGAGGGGAGGTAGAAGACCGGAAGATCGTTTGGATCCATGTTGACGTTCAGCCTCCCAGAATCAATGGTCACCTCAGTGCAATAACATCTGTGAGGGAGACAGCCATCAGAGACAGCCGG